CTGTGAGATTCGTTCTGCCTCCATAGATCATGTTTAGTTCCAGTGGTGCCAATTCCTTCTTCCACATGACACGTGATCTGCCTTTTCATCGGGGTGACACTGCAATCGGGCTTCTCCCCTTCGTAAACCCAGTCTTTGAACGGTGGGTTTACCACGATTCGCCCACCGGCGGCTTGCATTCTAAATTGTCAGCTTGCTGATGGTTTCGTGAACCAAGGCAGATGCTGGGTCACTATCTCTTTTTTAACAAGTCCTGGCTTGTTTGACGGTTTGAGACAATTTTATTGTTATTGAAAATATTTCCAAACAAATTACGGTTATGGTTGGACACCTCTTTAAACCTCTTTAAATTAACATATCAGCATTTTTCATGACATTGTCGCAGTGACAATCTCGTGAAAATTCATTTCATGATTGTGGTGGTTTATACCATGGAATGCAATTTAGTGGAACCTCTATTTAACGAAGTCCTCGATATAACGAGCGATATTCTATGTCCCGGCCAAAGTTACAGTAAAATGTATGGAATAGAACCTCGATATAACGAACCTCGATATAACGAATTCTTCGATATAACGAAGAAAATCCGGAAGCCCAAACGTAAAATCCACCTCGATATAACGAATTACAATGTTTCCTTGTTTACATAGACAATTTTCTGTATAACTTCTTTGTTGCAGCATTTTTAAATCGATTTAAAGGATTTTAAATAGAAATTATTCTAACAAGGTTTCATCACAGTTACTGTCTGCGTTACTAGTGGCAAAAATGAAAAAAAATAAAAAAATAAAAAAATTGAGCCACCGATTTCATTTTCGCACGGCAAAAATCCAACTGTATTCTATGTCAGTATCTTATGTTATCACTTTCGCATTGGGACGCTTATTACAATGGGGCTTACGAAAAGACGGAACACAAAGTGGAGCGCTTAATAGAAAGGGGGCGGTTACCGAAAAGAAGGTGCTTTATCGAATAGACCAGTTTCGATTTTTTTTTCCGGGGAGAGGCGGCTGTGACACAGGCTAAAAAAATATATATATTATTACATAATAATCAAC